GTGGTATCCTTACTGGATGAACAGAGCCTGCTTTTTTCATGCTCACTGCATTGTTTATATTAGATAGGAAACTCTTAAAGATCTAACTTAGTATTAAGTCATATACTCATAACCTAAGTAGCTTGCTAAGGCTGTGCATAGCTTCTGTTTGAGAGGTTGTCAATGGCCAGCTGCCTGGGTCAGCATTGCTAGACCAATCTTTTCCAGAGGTGCTGGCTTTAGTCATCCAGTGTGGGCAGTCTGCCTTACCCACAGACTAAGCATTTAGAAAAAGACCAGCAAACTGGGTTTTGGATTAGGGAGGAAATGGGCTTTAATCATAAAATAAATCAATGCATAAATCTTCCTGATTCTCATCCTAACAACTGCAATATATGACAACATCAGAAAACCTAACGTATTATAAAATTTGTACAAAGGAAGTAGAATGCTCTGTCGAAAAGCATAAGCAAGGCCTCATACTTCATACAAACTGCTTAAATTTACTAAAAACATTGGAATTTTAATTGCAGGAGTTCAAATTTTTCCTTGCCAGCTGTTTTTCTCAGGCTGATTTCTAGAGAGGGAGCATGTGCACATGTCCATTTGCACATTTGTGTTTGTGGTATATTATGGTGTGGAATGCATATACATATTCCCTTAGATTTTTTATGAAAGTGTAAAATGTTATTCAGTAGTCTTAGAATGCAAATTTAGGATGAAAAAGCTAAGAGGTAACCTGAAATCAAGTGAAATTCAACAGATATCCATAACAGAGACAAATCAATTTGAAGTATTTTTGAAAGAATGTGAAGAGTACTCTCAGCTGATGTTTCGATAATTGTGCATGTTCTGTGTACTTCTTCTTCTTCCTTTGTTATTCTTCCATATTTTGTTTGAGAAAAATCAGTGTTTCCCATATTGTCTGTCCCTTGTGTATCTGTCTCCTAGAAATGCTGTGTAAGTTTGTGATGTATTACAAACTCTTTTAGTATTCATTAACATTGACAAAAGAAAGGAATCTAACATCGCTTGAACAGGTTGAAAAAATACTGAAGGCTTTGCATCTGTGAAGCAGCAAGGATTTTTTCTTGTTTGTGGATGGTTTAAGCATATGTACGTTTTTCCTGTTAATTAGGTTGTGCATCTGAACTTACAGATCTGCCCCCACACTCCTTGTTTCTGTGAAGCATTGCACTGATCATGCGACCCTCTGCTGAGAGTGCAACACCCTCTTTGCAAATGCAATACATGCCTGTGCCCTTCTGTGTACTGTAAAAATAAATTTCCATCAGTGAAGTGCAGTGCCTTGGAGATCACTTCAGATACAGTAGATCATACTGCAGAGCTTCAGCACTCATAGTGTTCACTTGCTGTCTTACAGGCCTTTGACTCAGTCCTTAAGACTTATTCCAGCTAAAACCTGAGATTAAACACAGCAAGGCACTTCATTCTTCTGCCATCTCTGCTAGCTATTAAATTAATTAAATTCAAATAACTAACCAAAGCCTCTAGTACTCTACACACATACAGGATTTCTTGTTTTCATAATAAGGCCCCATCAGATCAAGAGTTAATATCAGTTACAATTTTATTTATTGACTGAGAAAAGAAAATGAGATGAAAATTGAAATAGCCTTTACTCTTTCTGCTACTCAACAAGCAATAATACATTACAAGCCAGGAAAAAAAAAAAAAAAAAAAAAGAGCTTTGTGATGCTGCAGCCATCTTCTAGCTGCTTTTTCTGCTAAGAGTGTGTAACAAAAATCAACCCATAATGAAAGTTATGAAATGGCTCAGGAGTTCATCCATCACACATCTGTGTAAGGCTCAGCTCCTTACCCTTCCCGTGGACTTTTCTTCTGTGTTTATATTGTGCCTGCCCTACATTAAGAATTTTCAAAATGCACTCGTCACCACACGGTATCTGTGAAACAAATTGGTATCTCCAGGGGTACTTCATCTAAAATAGGGATAAGTCAGGAGCATCCTTAAGGGATTCTGCCTCAGGATGTGAGTACATTTGAGAATATTCAATAAGTACATGAGTATGTTTAATCTACAGCAAATAAAATTCTAGCAGAGGAAATAACTTTGTAGGGATCCTGGATAAAAGCTCCATGTTTAGGCACCTCACTTTTATATGTCTGGAGTTAGATGAGGTGATATTGTAGGATATTAGCTCGAATTTGGTTATTGGGATGCAGCGGAGCTTGGTCTCTCTTAATTTAGTACCCACAGTGAAGTCACCTTTTGCAGCTTTTCCAGGAGATGACATTATGAAAAACAGCTCAAAGGTCTATGCAGACTGAGCTGACACCTCTTTTCTCCTGATTAAGTGGCACAACTGTGTTTTAACAGGGGGGAGTAGATGTTCACATCAAACTAGTGGGATACAATGTTCTGGATCTGAAAGAACACCTCCTTTTGTAATGGTGGTACTGTAGTTCCCTGTCCTTTAACTGTAGCTGCTGAAATGTCTTCATGGCATGGAAGGCTTCATGTTGGACACAAACCAGTGTATGAGTACGTGTGAACATCTGTGATAAAGGAGTCGTTGCATATTCTGTTTTTAACATTTTCTTCTTGCTTCATTGGATTTCTGATGCTGCTTAGAGTTCCAATGGGAGAAGGCTATGAAGTACATTTAATAGGCATGTGTTGAATATTAGAAAAGCTAAAAATTTCAAACATTCCAATAAAAATTACTCTCTAATATGAGCTGCAGTAGGAACTCTTCATGAGAGTAAGGTTTTCAGTATTCTCTGCTACTGGAATTTCTCACATTCTTTTATGTTACATGGCTGAATATTTGATAAGTTTTCCTTTTATCAGCATTCACCTCATTTCTAAAGCAAACAGAAGATAGGAAAATGCAGTTGCTCCTTTAGCCTGCTGTTGGTAAAATGCAAGTCAAGCAATTAAGCCTACAGTTGTTCAAAAAACCATGCACTACTGACTTCTGCAGTTCTAAAATAGATGCATACCTTGCATTCAAGTAAGAGACAGCTGCTCATTCTGATTTAGAGATTAGTGTAATGAAATAAAGTTGGCTTTAAATATCTAGAACTTATAAGGAATAGTGATTAGTTATGGTACTGATTAATGGATAATTATGTAATCATGTACAGCATTGACCCAAGCAGAAGCTTGGGGCAACTGGTAAAGGCTAATGCTAAATGAAAATTGAAGTTTTTTCCTTCAGTTGTTAGATACTTTCAGAGAAGATTTAGAACAGGGCTTTTTTACGTATTTTATTTTTGGTATATTAACGTAAACAGAGTCATTGAGAACAGATGTTTTAAAGCATTATTCTAGAATTGAGTCTTGATTTTGTTGTAAAATGTTGAAAAGTTATAAATGTGGAGACTTTGTGGTAAGAATGTAAACATTCATCTTATTTGATTATTGCCTTTTCATTTCTGGGGTTTTGTTTTGAAATATGTTTTCCACTGTCAGAAAAACCTAGGAAATTATATTTTCACACAGAACTCTTGCATACTCAGAATGTCTTTTGAAGTCAGTGGATTTTTTTTTGCTGCATGAGGATTCTAGTTATAAATCACCTTTTTGTACTTTTACTAAAGTATATTTTGCTGTTGTTATGGAGAAAAAAATAAGATAATGTGACCTTATTGATCTCTTCAATGCCTGCAGTGTCCTTACTGACATCAACGCCATGCTGGGAATAGAAATGATTAGTCAACAAGAACGAACTCTCCTTTCTGTAGGGACAAAGTAAAAACAGCATGAAAACATTATTCATTATATGTTATCATTGCTGCTCATTTCTTGGCAAGTGAGAGTTTTGGCTGAAGAGAAACTACTATAGAATGCATATAATTCTTATCCAAATCTAGACTGACCTACCTAAAATGATATCTGGAATAAATTCTCAAATTACAGTTTTGAATATCTCTTCTTAGCTGCTGCCTGAAAGTTAGTCTTTGTTTTGCACATGTAGAGAAGCACATTGGTTTTGAGACATTGAACTAGTTATCACATAGCTGGAGAAAAAAAGTAGTAGTATCTTCTTCCAGGTGATAGCAGAATGATTGGAGTACTTTCCCAGGAAGCAAGAGAGACAGATTTTATTTCCTCCTGTTTCATGAATAATTCATCACCTTCTACTTGGGGGTACACGGGAATAGATTCCCATGAAAATATGTCTTTATACTTCATATATATCAGTCATTCAGTCAAATAAACTAGTGTGCCCCGGAGAAGACAGTGAAACCTAGATATGTCCTTCTCCAGGTATGTGTCCTAACCAATAGGTTCAGGAACTAACTTTCTTTTTTTTCTCCCCTTTCCCTGAATGTTGGATTCTTTCCTCACAATATCTAGAGCTCCTATTCAGGAATGTGACATTATGGGCTTAAATCTTATTCTTCCAAGAAATACAACAGTATTTTTCCAGTCAAGATATATAAATATATCTTCCCAGTGTATTTGTTTTAATAATCTTCTGTATGTGGTTCACGTAAGGTATAAATAAATGATGGCAGCCATTAAGAATTTAACTATTCTGTTACTATTCTGTTACACAGACTCTTAATTGAGACTGCGGTCTATTTTTTCTTCTTAGTGCCTGCTAAACTAGAATACTTTTCTTCTTTGTTGTGGAGGGAGAATGAGGTGAATGAGTCAGGGAAGATCACATTCAGGGAAGAAACATTTAATCATTCACACTGGAAGGGACCTTTGCATGTCTTTTGCTCCAACCACTTCACGGATGAGCCAATTTAGATCATGTTGCTCAGGGCCATGTCCAATTGAGTTTTGAGTTTTCTCCAAGGATGGAGAATGCACAGCCTTTCTAGGCATCTGTCCCAGGACCTGACCACTCTCACAGTGAAGGATTTTTATCTTGCATCTAACAGGAATATCCCTTGCTGCAATTTCTATCTGTTGCTTCTTGGTCTTTCTTTGTATACTCCTGTGAGGAGTCCATCAGCCTTTCCTCCTGTGTGCTCAGCCCCTTAACCGTCTTGGTGCCACTCACTTGGACTAAATTCAGTTTCTCAATCTCTATCTGGTGTTTGGGCACCCAAAACTAGTTACAAGACATGGTCTTGCGAGTTCAGAACAGAGCAGAAAAATCACCCTCCTTGATCTGCTGGCCATTTTCTCTCTTACCTGGTGGATTTGGGTGACCTTAATGAAGTTCCTTTCTAAAAATGAATACTGTACAGATTCCAGCTCAAAATCAGATGTATCATAGATGATTCTTGGGAAATGTTTGCACCAAGTGTTAGTCTATTCTGCAAATGTGCCATCATGGCCCCTTTTAACAAATATTATCAAAGTGGCCCAGAAACACACGAGGACTCACTCTTGAACAAAGCTTTATAGTAGATGTCAGATTTCCTTCTTTAGTGGAGAAAACTCAAATCATTAGTTGGATAGATGGTGTATTTATGTAATTTAGCACTCTGGAACCTAGCCAAACTGCATTTGTTGCTAGCAGTTTTAAAAGGACACTGAAGTTCCTGTGTTATGAAGGGAATGATATTTTTTCCATTTATTGAGCTGTGGCATAAAAGTACTTTATAAAGGGAAGTTCCATGTCATCCTTCCTGCAATCTTTCTGTCTTACATAGCTACTAGTTTGTGATCACCTCACCCCTTGCTACCAGCAGAAGCAAAGCAGTTTAAATGGGTAAATCAGGGCTAGACCTAAGTGTTGAGAGCAACTGTGTCACACCAGATCAAGGGTCCTTCTACCACATCTCTCTGACAGCAGACAATAGCTGATTCTTAGAGAAAGACAATCAGAGTACAAGTATGACTTCACCCTCTGTCTGGCAATAGCTGGAATATTGCATTTAATATTATGACTTTCCGCAGCCATTTTATGGGCAGGGTTAAGGAGAGCAAGAAAAACTCCAAACACGGGAAATTAACTACTTTAACTAAAAGGTATTTTATGTTTTGAGAATTTATTAGTGTGACTTTTTAAATACATCCTCCTTGGATCTATCAATATTTTGCATATGCTCATGTGTGTTTGTATATATGTTTACACGTGTATTTGTGTCATTTTAATCTTTCTCTTATTCTGCTAAAGTTTATAATGTTTTCTTGGTAGAGGGTAAAGTGTATGTAGCGTCCACAGATTCCACCTACAGAAGACAAACCATGTTATCAGTCATTTTATATAACTTTTTAGGTGCATCTTGTGGCTGGATTTGCATACAGACTTGTCTAGCTACAAGGAAAAAAAAGTTTATTAATTAAAAATCCAGCACTAATTTTACCATGAATGGTTGACTTTACAGGGGAGTTTGACACAGTGCAGAGCCCCTCCACACCAATCAAAGATCTTGATGAGAGATCATGTAGGAGTTCTGGGTCAAAGTCTCGGGGTAGAGGGCGGAAGAATAATCCATCACCCCCTCCGGACAGTGACTTGGAGGTATGCCTGTGGTAAATGATGAATGGTAATGTGGAGGTTTTCTTCTGATGAAAAGTAAATTCTGAGAACTACAGCTGTGGAAATAGCTTAAGGCATTTTAGAATACGTCATGGGCTCAGTCTCAGTAACTGAATACAACAGATACTGGTTGCTTTTTTTAACATACATGTACAATGAGACATTACTGTTCTTTATGACAAAGTTAGACAGAAAAGTAAATGTGATTCAGCTTTGCACATTTTAGCTCTAAGATTGTGTTTTTCAGTTTCTCATGCAATACAGCCACAAAATTGTGAGTCTTTCGTATTCAAAATTGTCACATTTTGACTTAGTCATTTAAATAGGAAATCTCAAATATGTTGCTCAGCTTAATTTCATGCATTTATGAATGCAGTATAAATATGAAGGATCATATGGCAGTAACTTTTCAAATACTTATGCACAGGTTCGTCCTTGTGCTTGTAGGCAATGCCAGTGGATTTCTATGAGTCAATTTACATCAGTTGTTTTGGCTATACTTAGCTATGTGCAGAATCAGTGCCTTGGTGAAGAAATATACCTGCCAAATATGTGGGATGACAAGTTAAATCACAGGTGACCTCTTAGCAACGAAGTAATTATACTCTCATTACTCCTGTGTAAGCAGTGTGTAAGGCACTTACAATGACAGGAGGAGGAGGAGGAGGAGGAAGCAGAGTGCCTCTGTGTGTGTGAAACACTCCAGCTCTGGTATCAGGGGAGCCTGGCCAGCCCCACTGCTCTGCCTTTACTGACCAGCTCCTGGTACAGCAGAAGAGAAAATTGATGCTAGGACTTGGCTGGTCACACAGAGGCTCCTGGGGTGGGCTGCGGTGCTGCACACTGAATGTCAGTGCCATTGGTTTTACACAGAAACTTACGAATTTATGGGGTTTTTGAATGATTTAACTTTTCCAGTGAAAAAATTCTTAACTTCTTACACATCAGTTTTCCTATCTCTTTCATAGTTTACCAGTGAAAATGAACCTCTTATCAGTATAAGGAGGTTGTTTTGGTTTGGTTTGGTTTTTTAGTTAGAATAATCCATTTTATCCTACAATATTATTTAAATTCTCTATGACATTCTATATAGCAGATAGCACTTTTACCTAAGATTTAATTTTAGCTATACAGCAAAACATAAAGAACAACCTTGAATCAGTAAGACTTGCAGAGAAGTATCTGAGAGCACTGTTTATCCTTAAGTTAACAATTATGTGACACCCATCACATTTCTGAAATCTGTGTTATACAGCTTTTTTGAAATGCTTTTTAGAGGACAAGTAAGAACTATCTGAAGAGTTCAAGTTACTCTCTTTCTGACTTTTTACCAGGCATGATACACTGGTTTTGCTGATTTTCAGAGGAAAACCTGCTTTGTTAAGTGACTGGCTAAACTCTAGCATCCAGTTGACTTTTAGGCCCCATGGGTGGAATGGTGATGGAACATGGATCTTTTTTGTTTAATAATACTATTCCTACTTCTATTTTCAGCGAGTCTTTGTTTGGGATTTGGATGAAACAATCATAGTTTTTCATTCACTGCTTACAGGATCCTACGCACAGAAGTATGGCAAGGTATGTGAGCCATGAATTGTGTCAATAAACTGTATCAGAGCTCTCTGGCCTGCATATGTATGTGTTTCTCACTTTCCGTGTTCATCATGGCTTGGGTGAAGTTAGAGGGAAGGTATACAGTAAACCCCATTTTCAGAGCATTAATATGAAGTCAAGGAGAGAAATGAGACACAAACCATAAGCAAAATATATGAGGCAGGGCTGAAGCAGGTGCTGCAAAGAAGGGAAGAATTTATAAAGGAACAAGGATGAGGTTTGTGAGGTACATTGGAAGAGATATTGCGAGGAGAGAATAGATGTAGTGGGCAAATGGAAATAACTGACAGTGTCTGGATGCTTAGAGAAAGAAATAAGAAATTAACTGTAGCGACGGGTGAACTTACAGGGAAACTAATGAATCAGGATGAGTAAGTAAGGGACTGACCTATTTCAATGCCAGCTGCAGATGTTATTCTTTGACGCCCCAGCTTTTCCATTGAATCTCTGGTTCCCTTGGTGGTTCTGGGGTGAGTAATGCTGGGGAGTGAATCCCTCTCACAGGCAGATAGTTGTACGCATCCTTTCCTCTCCAGTGAGCTCCAAAAAAAGTTCAGGTCACAGAGCAGCAAGCCGGAGAGTAGGAGGGAGGGTGAGGAAGGCAGAGAGAAGCAGTCACGGCCTGCAGGGGCAGGAGCTCCCCTGCGGAGTCAGCACCAAGCCCTGGTGGGCAGGTAGTGGGAGCTCAGGGAATGGTGCTCAGAAAAGGGGAGAAGGGGCTGGTGGGAAGACCAGTGCATAGCAGGAAAAAAAAAACACCCCATATGAGGACAAATGTATGGAAGGGGAAAAAAAATGGACAGGAAGGACTTTAGTATGCACATACCTGGCTGTAGATTTTCTAGGTGTTGTGTCATTTAAGTATAATTAATACAAAGGTATTTCTTTTTAAGAATATATCCATGCCCATACTATGTTTAGCATAAGTTTCCTGCCTTTTTCTCCCACCCAGGATCAGACACTCAAGAAAAGGATGTGAGAAACAGTACATTAGAGAAATGCTTTCCATACCCACCTCCCCAGCTGGCAGATCAGAAATGTCCAAAACCAGAACCTGCCAATTATAATCACAGATGGACCAGTCCTCTGTGTTTTGAGACAGCTGTTTGTGGCTATTAAAAGAGAAAACTAATGGGAAAACTCACAGGCCCAGACAAAAATCTGAATTTTTGGAATGCTAAGATAAGGGTCTTTATTCATGTCTTGTAAAAAACCAGCCTTGCTTGTTTTGCTGCAGCACAGTGCCAAATCAGTGCACATTTCAGTACTCTATGTCAAAAACTCCTCTTCTGCTGTTCAAATACTGTAACTTGTGCTTCAAACACTGTAACAACAGTGACTTTGTCAGAACCATTTCTAACTTACAGTTGTCAAAACAAGAGAGAAACATAGCTCAACACGAACATTTATATCACTTTCTAGTGTAGCCACAGAATTTGCTGAGTTGCACCATAGAGACAGTCATTCCTTTGATCCTTTTCTGATTGTGCCCTTAGGATGTTTACATCTCTGGTGCAATCTCATGTAATATATGACTAAAGTCTAAGTCAACTTTGTATCAAAGTTTTAAAAATCAGAGCACGTTTTGTAGCTCACAAACTTCTATGGATAACTTTGAAAACTGTCTTAGAGACAGAAGGAGAAATGAATTCCTCTTGGTTTCTCACTTTTTAATGAGTAGGGATATTTTAAAAATCCCAGTTCTTTTAAGAATCCATACAGAATCCTTAGAAAGAGTGATAGCATATTAACAGCCAATAGTACTGACAACAGATAGAGTTGGCTTGTATAAATGAAGAATGTTTCAAGGGCAAGTGAAGTTAATGTAGCTACGATGCTGAGGTCAGCATCAGTAAACAAATGTAATGAATAACAGTGAAGAAAAAAGAGAGGAATTCTTAAATATAGTCCTTTTTTCTTTCTTTTTTTATACTGTTAGGTGGCATACAAACAAGTCAGGAAATGTGTTCATTTCCAGAGACTGTAAAATGAAAGAAGTAGACGTTTTCCTTCCTGCAATGATTACCTTTGCTATGTTTATAGAGAACTCATTGGCAAGGTAATTGCCAAGGAAACTCAAATACATATATTGTTGGCTGTGGGAAAGGGAATACAGGGAGAGCATATCATGAGTAAGCTTTGATTTTTGCATGTCACTGAAGTGTTGCCTAAACTTAAGATGGGACGTGTCTGAGCCTAAGTGCCTAAGAGGTTAGACATGGGAGAAGGGAAAGGTAGCACAGATGGACCTCAGTCAGTCTCTGCTGTGTGAGCTCTTCAGCAGATGTGACCCTTATCTGTTCTGCATATGATTTCCATATGCAGACAAGGTCTTAATCCAGACTGAAGTCTGGTTTGTTATAAGAGTTGGACTGCAATGAGAGTAAATACTCCATTAATTGCGAGGTTCTCAGTGGAAATCTTGTAAGCACATAGGTCTTTCAAAAGTGTTGTGAGAGCTATTTATCCTGGAAAGGTAATATAAAATTGTTACTTCACCATGAAAAAAAATGTCAGGGTAGTGTGAATTAGTGGCGATTCTAAACTATCTAATTGTAGTGATTTGCTATCTGATTTTTTTAAAAATATAAGGTGGGTAATGTTCCACAGATTCTCAGCTGTGCATACTGTGTTTTTCTGTATGTATTTTGTGAGCCCATTTTGTTTGACTTAATTACTCCCAAAAGAAAAAAGGTTACGCCCAAAAAAGAAACATAGGAAAAAAAAAATAAAAAAAGTCATGGGAAAGGGTGAGTTTTACCCTTTCCCCCTATTTAAATATTCTAAATGAGATTCATCAGTCTTTAATGTGAACATTGCTTTAAAGGAAGGCATCTTTTTACACCAAGTATGCTCACCTGGTATTTTCATGAGGTGAGATGCTGAGTTTAGAGGTAGTGGGAAAATACAGACAGGCGAGGATATTAATTTTCAGTTCTTTCCTATCTACTTCTTGACATGTAAACTTTCATTCCCCTTTCCCACAAGCTCTTTACCCTTTTTCTTGCAGTAACAGGGTAAAATAAAACATATAGAAATTAGTCTTTTAATCTCTCTGCTCTGCTGCAATTCAGGCTGAACAGGGAATGCAGTGAGAGGAGGTGCATCATTTGGAGATGGCCATCATGCTGCTGTAGCCAGGTGGAAGGACCAAGTGTGAGTGCAGGAGTGCTTGACACAAACCAGGAGGCAAACAGTTTCTCTTTCTAAAGGTTTCTTACAGTTTAACAAGTATTTGGAGTGGAAGAGAAAAAGGAAAGGCAACCCAGCATCCCCAGAGGCAAAGGGGGAATTCACTGTCAGAGGTTATGTGGGAAGGCCTGGATCCAGTAGGCAAGTTTCAGGTCATGAATTTGTCAAGAGAACAACAAATTTCTAACTTACACCTGGTGATTTCTGAAGTCAAGAATGGACACTTTCTTTGGTGTAGATACTTGTCCAGCACTTTGTATGGTGTGGTAATTATTTGATATCAGAATTATATAAGGCTTTTATAATAATCATGGTAAAAGCAGAGATTTGCTGAAATATTTAACTTATTGGATGCAACTGTAAGTCTCTCATTTAAATCACAGCCCATATTGCTGCTGCTTATCTGGGCACCAGTATAGTATAGCTTTAAACTCCACAGAAGTGGGAGAGAGATGGCCAGAGGTTGGTCAATGCATCGCTTTTGATATTTAAAATAGAAAAGTTACCCACAGGAATGTTCTGTGTTTGCTCTTTTCTGCCTGTGGGCAGAATCTGACTCTTGGTGTAGTGGGTGTTTTAATTGGGCTGATCAGAGCTAACATAAAAAGAGAATAAAAGCTACACTACACCTCTGTTAAGCTTCAGGGAAACTGTGCTGCCTCCCAGCAGTAAGAGTACTTCTCATTATTCAGCTTGTTTGTTTATCTACTTCATACTTCATAAAACTAGTAAATGTTTATTTTTAATTTTTTTAATGCAGTAGCAAATTATGAACATTGGCATTTGAGCTGTTTTTTATGACTTATGTGGCTGATCATGGTTTTTGCAGCTGAGCACCAGTTGGCAGATAGTTTTCTACAACGCTGAGCTCTTAAGTGAGGATTTGTTGATGTGACAGGACATGTGTTAGATGTCATCATCTGTTAAAAGTTTACAGGGTACATTCTTATACGCTGTGAACAGTGTGTATGCTGTGTTCCATTGCATTCCAGTTACTCTTGCTGATTTAAGGTTGATTAAAGCTGGAGTTTTGTCTACCTCCGTGCATTTATATTTCATTCATTTCTCCCAGGTAAATCCAGAGGGCAGGGATGCCCAGATAAATGCTGTGACTCAAGGTGCAACTGGCTGAAAAAGAATGAAAGTCCCTTGTGACCTTAGAGGGGGCAGAATGTGATTTCCAAGTGCAAAAATTAAAACAAATCCACAGTTGATGATCACATTTAAACATTTTTGAGAGCATTGGCAGTGACAGAAAGTTGTTAAGGAGACCACATTAACCTTGTACACTTCTCTGGAAAGGGCTCAGAAGCATTTTATTGCTCACTCTCTCCTTGTCCAGTCCAGAAAAAAATTTGTCACTCATAGCACCCATGCTGACATTCCCAAATTCACTCATAAATATGCTTGTGTCCACCTGTACTAATAGTGTATCTCTCATGACCTGCAGTTGTCCTCTCCATTCACTCCCTCATTGTCTGAGACATGTGAGCCCATTTTCCTACCTCCTAGAGACCGTGGAACAGAAACTTCCTATGGAGTATGTGAGTTTTCCTTCATCAGCCACCAGATATAGTTATTAAGAAGAGATGTATTCTTTTCCTCCATTGCCACCTACATGAAGCTCTTCTGGGAACAAGTTTCCCCTATAAGAGAGTGAGAGCTGAACTTAAATCTGAGATTCCTACATAATGTGGGGAAGTGTCTTTAAGCTAAAAATATTGGTACTTAAGCATTTCCACTTTTTCTAGAGGTCAGTTTTGTTGTAAGTCTGTTCTGGACAGCCACTCATTGAAAATCTATTCTTATAATATTACTCATATATTTTGCTTGTTTTCTTGCTTATTTTTAAGGTTTCATGCACACAAATTCCTGTCACAATCTACCTGACAGTCTATTTATCTGTTTGTTTTCTGAGTTTTATACAAACCAATTTTGTGTGTTTGTTTTGTTGTTTTTTTTTTTTTTTCAAAAAAATGAAATTATTTTTAACGTCTTGTGCTGAAGCCTGACATTCCAAGGCAATACTAAATAGATTTCTTCTACAAATGGACATTGAGCTTTGGGGGATTTATTCCAGTCACTTTCCCTTTTTTTAAACATTTTTAAATATTGGTCCTCCCAGGATATTTTTATCTAGTCTCCCAGGAGGCATTCCAGTGGATGGGCTAGTCTAGTCCAGAAGGCCACAGACAGACAGACTGGCTCCAGTTTAGTGCCTTCAAACTAATGTAACTAATTTGTATTTTGGTATACAAAGGTGCTGTAGCTGGTCTTGATTCTTTTTCATGCTAATGATGTCTGGCTAAAATCATGCCTCTGAGGGCCAAAGAGTTGTTCTTTATTCTGCAAATTATCTGGGGAAAGCTTCCAGATTTTTTTTTTGTTTGTTTAATTATTGCTTCCTCTTTTGTGTATGCTTATGCAGAGTAGCAAAAAATACCATTTTGGCAGAAGTTTGATCTACCTCTTATTCATTGTCTCAATTTGCTGCCCTCAAATCTGTATCAGCTACAGATCTTTCTTGCTTTCTTTTCAACACTTGGTTCTCTGTCTCACTTGTGTCAGTCTGCAACTTCTGCTTCAAGTTCAAGTTCAATGTTCAGGATGTTCTTCCACATTGTGAAAACATACAGCCACAAGACCCTGACAAATATGTTTTCTCTGTCTATTTTTGTATGTGAAGGAATGGACTTAACATGGCAAGAGGTGGAGCATGGTGTTTAATTCTTGTTAAACAATTGCAAGGCAATTTTTGGCCTATTTATTAAAGGAAGAATTCTTCATGTCTTGAGAATCCAGTTTCTCTGGTGACTTTTCTTAGCAGAAGCTGTTATGGAGAGATTCTAGACTGATTTTATGCTAAGATGAAATGAATTCTCATTGATTTAATGTATTTTACATATAGTCCCTAGCAATATTTTACATGTGCCTTTGTCAAAACAGGAACTTAAGAAATTTCTTTTTAACAGGAATAAAGTCAGGCATAGTTGGTTATGGAAATAATACTAATAGGTAAATCATAAAAGCTTTGTCACATTTACACTTTTCAACTATACTTGGAAAGGCAAAAAATTGTGATACATAGTTGGTAGTTTCTGTAAAACTAAACTAGATTATAATGGAATATATTGTAGCAAATTTCCGCTTCTGCTTCTACCCAGGAAGGTCAAGAAAGAGGCTGAGAATCAAAAGTCTGAGATTCCAGTCCTGGAAGCACTCCAGTGCATAACTTAACTCACATAAATAATAATGAGTTACCACCTGTGCATAAAGTTATGCACAAGCCTTAGTGTTTGTAGGATTGAGGTAAAGAAACATATTACAAATACTTTTTATTATATTGTATCTAGGAAGGAAAGTTTGTAATCTACTGTGCATAGAAAAAAAAAATCAAGAGAAAGGAGAGAGAAACACATGTTTATAGGTGATGACATTTTGATAAAAGCATTATGGCTTGATGAGGAATCATTTTAATGATTTGTATTCTAAGTATCTTACATGAGTTTTTGCAAATCTGTTAATGAGTGTTCCTTAATTGTCCCGTTGGAGAACTGACCTTTGCACTTGCTGCTGCCTTCAGCCAGGTGACTTTCAGATGCAGTGAATGTGACTTCAGAAGACAGAGTGAATGAAGTTATGTTACTAGGCACTGCATTTGGTTTTTACTTTTGAAAGATAGTCTAGACCAGTTCAAGAGTTGACATAAAAATGTTTCCTTTCACTGCCAGAGAACTGGGTCTAGCTTTCGGTCATTACAATTTCTTGTGCACTATTCTCTTCAAGTCTGACTTTTTCATGAGCAAGGGTCAAAATATGTCTGTGTTTCAGATTTTACCATTAGTTTTTAAGTGCTTAAGGGCAGAAGCCATCTTTTATTCTGCCGTTGCCTAGCCCTGGAGTAGTGGATGTCTGATCCTGATTGGGAAGCCTTTGATCCTAATACTAACAAATGATCATTTGAGGTTTTGTGTGATTTTGTTGCCACGTGCTGGTGAACTTCCACACTTTTAATCTCCAGGCATTTTAGAGAAGGGATTTCTGAATACTTGCTAGTGTCAATCAGAGTTTAAGTGATGAAACTTTTTTTTTTTCCTTATTTTAATAAAAATGAGCATTGCATTAATTTTAGAAGTCAAAATTAATTTTAGTTGCACAAATAAGCTGGACCCTGCAAGCTCAGGCAGATGATTATGGCAATGATAAAAGTAATTACCAGATGTCAGTTAAGCATCAGGAACTGTCCACACAGGAACTGTGTTCTTATTCTAAAACAAGTGTAAGGTAATGTAAATTGGCTTAACCTCTTTCCTAGCAAACCTAGCAAAGTTAATTAATTCTCACATTTACTGTATGCTAAATGCCCTCAGATAAACTGTTATTGCAGATTGGTAGATTTTTGGTATCTTGCTGAGGCAGAGTGATTTGATCGTGTAAAAACTGGACTACAAACAAATGCAGTATTTTGAATTAATCTCATCCAGGGACAGGATTCCTGTATTTCATCACAAAACCAGGGTTGACCTGTAGCAAACAAACAAACTTATATAGGTTTTCCCATTTCCATGGACCACCTAAAGAATTGTGCCACAGATTGTAGGCACACTGAAAAACACTTAGAAGAACATTTACAGGCACTTCATTGAATAAATACCTCCAATAAAATCATGAAGGGGAGCCTGAAAATTCATCAGTGAGTGCCTGCATGGTAAATATTGAGGTGGAGAAGGCCTAAGTTCCAAGTTTGAAAATGCATACTAGTGTGGCAGAAGGTGTGGGAAAGGACTAAGCATTGTCAAGGCAGTGATGGTTTATCCAAAGTGAAAGTCAGTTTGAGGAAACAGGCATAGATTCAGACTGCCTTTTGTAATTTTATGAAGCAGAGACATCAGAAATTGAAAAGGCCTCTTAAATCATACCTTCCTTACCACAGTGTAGGATAATTACTTACAAAGTAATCATTTGGTAGGGATGACTATCTTTCCTAGTCCAGTTTAGCATGACCTTGGTGAGGAATTCTGTGTGCCCAGAAATTGGGAAGAGAGGCCAAGAGATCAGAGGAATTGTGCAGGGGACTGGGTGTCACATCAAGTGGTTTTATTCCTACCTCTGCTGCTGACTCAGTGCATTGAGCGAGAAAAGTTTGTTATTGCTCCATGACACAGCATTTTCTGCCCATGAATTGACAGGCAGGTTACTTACATATTTTTATAAAAGGCTAAGGGATGAAAAATTTAGTGTATTCTTATAATAATAATATTGGATTTCTTATATATCTCTATGAGAAGTTCCATTCCTGTTTACAGCCTTCTTTATGCAAGTTTACATTTGGCCACCAGGTTTTCCCCTTTCAGTTTGGTCAGGTTGCAAATGCCTTGACTTTCAAAAAACTTGATGTTTCAACATCTCCAGCTACCCAAATGTTGTCATGCAGGTTCACCAGTTTCTTCTTGTAGTGTTATATTTCAGTAGCTTAAACTGGAAGGATTTAGAGAAATTTCTTGCAGTGTTAATTTTTTCAGAACACTTTAAAAGTAATTCTGATATAACTTAAAGGTATTTAAGTCGTTAACCTTTCTTTCTGTTTTTTAAGGATCCACCTATGGCAGTGACCCTTGGACTGCGAATGGAAGAAATGATTTTTAATCTCGCTGACACACATTTATTTTTTAATGACTTAGAGGTAAGATTGAAAGAACATAAACACCATTACTCCTGGGTTTTTAACATAGTGGTTTTGCTGTGCATTAGTGTTTGTTGTGTATGACATTTTCTGCCTGTCTAGACCTTGGGTTTGTAATACGCTAACCAGAGACAGTGACTCTGATTGCTCCTTGCAAGGTAGCAGTGACTTCCTGTGGCACCAAACTGGGTGAGAGGGGGAATCTGCAAGCTACCCTTTCCTCTCTTTGTCCTATGGCCATCTTTTCAGTTTCCATGGATTTAGAGCTGTCTGCAGTTGTTCCCAGAAGGGAGACATATCTGCCTCCTATTCTTCCTCTTGAAGTTCTCTACATTTGCTTCCAGTGGGTGCCATCATCTGACCACAAGAGATTATGTTCTTCTCTTCACATACCTGAGTCGCCTTTTAGCCACAAGCCTCCCTTTCTTCTTCAAAAGTAGAATATTCTTCATTTAACTCAAAAACAGCAGCATCAGAGAGCTGGGACTATGACAGATGTAGTCATCAGTGATATCTCTTCCCAAAAGTAACCAGGCAACCATATGTTTTGTCATGATGTGCTCGGGGTATGCAATTTGGCATCTGGTCAGAAAAGGGAAGATCTCTCCCTAGGGAGTGACCACTGTGGACTGCTTACCTGTTAGAAGTACACAGATGGAATGCTGCAAGGACAGTGGTCTAGGAAGCAGGCTCATCAGCTGGGTTTCAGAGACTTTTCGCTTCACTCTGGGAGTCTGGATCTGTTAACGTGGAAACTGACACTCTTACAACCATGTGTTTCAAGAGATGGGGGTGAAAAACAGGTCTCAAGTTAAACTATGGGCTTTTTAGACCTTCCTCTGGTCTAAAACAGTTGTTTCCTTACTTGGATTGGATCCCAGAGTTCCTTCCATGGACAGATATTTTGCCACTAATGGCAACTGGAAGACTTTGAGATTATGTTTAAATTGCAGAGGTCTCTGGTGAGTAAATGGGAAAAAATGAGATAAAGTTGAGATTTCTCCATTCACTGACACATTGATTTTTCTAGTGTGCACATCTTTTGTTCCTTCATCGACTGTAGGCAATAAGAAAAGCAGGAAGTACCACGCTACAGTTGTCTTTGTCATCTATTGTGGACCTCATTTGTTCCTAGCTCTTTTTAAGTTAAGAAACTGGGATCTACTTAGCCCTACCTGAGTTGCGCTTCCTCCTTCCAGCAGCAGAAACAGAAGAAAGTAAAGCCCCAGACATGCCTTCACCAGTCGTGTTTTATCTGAGTCCTAATGACTTGACAGTGCAAGTGCTTTCAGTGAATGCTCTCCTTCTTGTGACCTGTACCGCGAATGGATTCCAAATAAATTTTTCAAAGCATTACTTAAATTTCTCTTGAGCAGAATTTCACCCCTGTGTGTTCAGATTTCATGTGGCACCCAATGAACTTTAAGCTATTTGGTAGCATATGCTCAGAGTTCTTCAATCTTGTTCTGAGTTCAGGTGGAAGTGTTCAGCAAAATGGAGCTTTGCCCTCTTTCCATAACTCTTTATTCTTGCTTATGGCCAGTGAAGCATCATTTCTTTCTTGCATTTTTATTTTTTTTTTTTGTCGATCTCAGTTCAGCTGTCATAGGTGGGTTATCACATTTTGTATATTCTTCGGAGGGTGGATTTAATATCCTGTCAAAAAATTCACACTCCATCTCATTCCAGAGCTTGAACAGTATCCAAACAGTTTCCAGTTCTAGATAAATCAAAATATACTACTTGGGGACTCTCTTGGAAAATCTCATAACTCAATCAATTTAATTCTATTAAAGCAGATTTCTATATGCAATTAAGTATTTTCTAGCCCAGAATTCATCTTTGTTGCAAAACCAACTCTCTTATAAGATTACCAAAATTCCAAACTTTTGTTCTGAAATATGTTTATGAACACATTCTGGAATATACAGGAAGACCAACTATTTTCTTCTTTTCTATCATCTTCTTAGCAAATAAGATATTATTGCATGGCATCCTCTACCAATGTACGTAGATGCATCCTTTAATAAGGATGGATAAATCTGTTTGTTTAAATACGTTTGCAGAGCACATGGCTGTTACTGAACATTACAGTGCATTTGCATGATGACTGTATAGTGAATTCCGAGAATTGCCCAACTCTGGCTTGGGATCTCTCTCTCATCTCTCCCACTCTCTCCATCTCTGTTTCTCTGTCTTCTCTCCATCTCTGTTTCTCTGTCTTCTCTCCATGTTCACCCAGGAAATATGAATTGAATGCTGAGCTGCTGATGGTCATGGCCATCAAGGCCCGAGAGCTTCAGTTCTTACTAGAGGAAGTGAGATAGGCTTTTGTTCACTAGACAGGTTACTCACTGTTTCATCATCTCACTTTTTTAGTGCTGAGTCATCAGGTCCCATACCTTCTGTCTTGCTTTCATCTTCATCCCACAGTAAATATCTTGTACTAATCAACATATATTCCTGAAATGTCGACTCCAGTCACTATATCCTCTAAGCTCTCTTTCTTGCCTTTCTTGGTTGCAAACATGACATACCAGGTGTCTAGTAATAATAATCAAGTTATTGGAAGTTACCACACACAAAAATAAAGTTTTCCTTCATCTATGCAAATCTGTCTCACTACAATGAGTAGTGAGTAGTACAACGACTGCTGATGCAGAAATTCCAATCTGCTGAGACATTCCCTGCTGACCCAGTAACCCACGTTCTAATCAGCCAAGCTGCACTTTTATTTCAGGTTAGGCTGTTCTCCAGCTATTTCATTCTCAGTGTATAAATTTTAGTTAGCTCAGGAAGAATCGCCTGGGAGGGCAGCTGGTGTTTTGCCATGAAAATAGGAGTCTGGTGCTCTAGAATGTTCAAGTGCCTAAGCACTACTTAGAGATGGGACTCCATTCTGTAATAATATGCAGACTAATGCATTCTGTTTTCAACCAGGTGAGGAATAAAGTGAAGTTTTTCTCCCTATCTCAGTGTTAATTTTGAGACAGCTTTTAGAAATGTTGGTAGGGCATGCACACATAAACAAAAAGCCCTAATTTCTACAAATGCATGCAGGAATTTGGACATAAATCTTCCAGTTCTATTATCCTCCTCCACTCTCAGGATGATGAAGCAAATAGAGTATTTATTTCAAACAAACTGAATTACAATTTGTATTATAATCCTACCATATATTAAATAATATTTTGTCATTAGAAATAGAAATGAGAAATAAAAAATAGGTTTTAGGTTAGTTTCAGAATTTGAAAGGCAGGTCAAACTAGTTATAACAGATACTGAAGCATGTACATAAAAAGGGGTGTTCCGTATAGCTTGAGAAAGCATAGTGCTGAATATCCCCTGGGTAATAACATTTTTGTATTCAGTATGGTGAGTCAGTGTTTTTACTGGATAATGAAACTAATGTCCATTCTGGGAGGAAAATTTTTATGGATGATTTTATTTCAAATTTTCAGGATCTAAAAACTGCCGCAAAGAATTGACTGCATTCAGATACATGTTAAATTAGTATTGCTTCAAGCAAAAGGCAGTTACTGTACCTAGATTCCTTTCCTGTACTCTCAGTAATAGGAAATTATATTTTATCTTTCTGATTTTGACCTGGAATGGACAGTGAGCCACCACTGTGACTTGAGTGTCGCCAGTACCGTAGCTGATGTGAAAAGTATTTTACCTTAATATTTAAAGAAACACAAAGATTGTTTTCTTTCTTTCCTCCTCACAACAATTTAATATATTTTATGAGGAAGCGTAGATGTAGTGTTGTGCCATCAGTTTCCCCTTTCTTTGGAAAAAGTAAAGAAGTATCTCAAATCTGCTCAAACTGTCTCTTTGCTTTTTTTTTCCAGAAAGTTTTTTCACATTATAGAAGCGAATTTGTAAAATGTAAACATTTTAGTTGAAGTAGATAAGTAAACGAGAAATCAAAGTAAAACAAAGCAAGAAGTGATGGTTACATGAGTATGTGATTGGTCAGCAAGTGTGTATTTCTAGTATAATGAGCAGGTGAGCCATAGACTGGAGAGGAGAAGAAGAAGGGAGAAAAGGAGGAAGCTGAAGAGTGCTATTGGGTTTGATCCTCTTATAAACTTAACCTTCTTGCAGGGACAAGTAATCAGAAAACTGCATGTTACCCTCATGTCCTGTTCCTGGAGTAAATGAACAAACTGTGAGATAAAAAAAAGTAAAAATAAAGACCTAAGCCTTTGCCACCCACTCATATTTAACTTAATTATTAAATTATCAGCGGAACAGTTATCTGGAATTTTCAAGGCTGGAACAATGTAGCTGAAAGGCTTAACAAAACCTACACAGCAGACTGTCCTTATTTATCAGGGCTTCTGTGTGCCCTCCATTTAATTAGTACACCTTCAAATCCACAGGACTGATTTTTAAACTTTACAACTATCTTATGTTTGGACTAGTTCCAGAGAAATCTGTGAAGGTGGTTAGCAAGCCAGCTATTGCTCAGATATTGCAAAATATAGAGTTAGGATTTGTCCAAGTGGGGCTTTTTGTCTGATTTTTTAGTTCCTGTACTAGACTGGGTGGAGTATAGTTGCCTTTTTTTTTTTTTTTATAAATAAGGATAAAAAATTTATCTTTTATTTCAGCTGCTACTTCACCTTTTGTTTTCCTTTTTCATCTGCTATTTATATCAAAAAGCAATTTCTTTAAGATATTCTATGGCTCAAGATAATCATGTCAGACAGAAACAAAAATGTTTATTTCTCCACTGGAGAGAAGAATGATTCATTTCTTTTCCTTCAACACAGCTCTTTCATGCCTGTCTTAATAGATTAGGCCAGATGAGGAGAGTTTGGCCACTCATTCTTTTAGTCTTAACAAAAAAAATTAAATTATGATTTTTGTATGATGCAGTGAAACTATGTATTTGAAAATGTAATTTTATGTATTTATTTTATACCCAAAAAAAGGTGTTTTTTTTTTTTTTTTAATAACATACTTCATGTGAGTAAAAGTCTGTTAAGTTTTCATTTAGTGCAAAGCAAACAAAACAAAACGAAGAAACGATAATTTTCCAAATTCACACTTAGGACCTTGTGGCATACACATTTGGAAATCAGTCCTATGTTCAGATTTGTCCTTTATCTGGACAGTTTAGCACTGGTACAAGACTGAAATTGGAAACAGAACTGCACACTTCTACATGTCACAGAGAGTCTGAATTAAGTGTTGCTTGTCATCAACTTTATTTGACATAGATGACTCTGTTTGAAGCTCAGCCTCATTTTGCCTTAGTGATGAGGTTCAATTATCAGAAAATATTAGTTGGGGAGCAATTTTTAAATATGTCCTTGAACTTTTACAGAAAACAGTAATACGATGCCTGTTCATATTTGCTGTTGCATGACAGCTTGACTTACTTATTTGTGCTTCCCCCACATTTTCCTATCTTTCCGCCATAACCACCATGCAGAAAAGGATATTTGATAGCTATCCAATTATAGAACCAGTTTGTAGAGGAGTTCAGTTTTCCAGTGTACCTCAGTTCCCTGGAGATATTTCCATCCCTTCCAAAACCAGGAAACAGTGAAGTTCTTCAGGACTGCTTGATTATCTGTGATATTCCAGCCAAAGGCATATAGATAAATCAGTAAAAAAATCTGATAAGCATCCAAACTCCTAGAGACTTAACAGAAGTTATATGCCTGTTGAGGTTCATCATTGTTAGTTTTTACGAAGTGGGTAAATTAGCTGATTTCACAATATTGATATGCTAGAGAGATGATAAATGAGACTGGCAATTGTTGGGATTTTTTTCACTTAAAATAATGTTAATTCTACATCACACTAAAAATACATATTGCTTTTCTAAAGGCCTTTTTTAACTAATAATTTACACAGTGTAGATGTTGAAAGTTGTATTATTTTAAAGAAATTGATGGTGATAGGAAGCTGTAGGTGTACATACTCTGCCATCTTCTGGTGCAGTTAGTGGCCTGCACTGATCATTTCTTCAACATCTATACTGAGCATGTGGTGAGCATACACTCCTATAAGATAATTTATCATTTGGGGTTTTTTTTTTCAACAGGAATGTGATCAAGTTCATATAGATGATGTTTCTTCTGATGATAATGGACAAGACCTAAGGTAAGCTACAGAATTTGTTTCTTTTTTTTTTTTCTTCAAAGATTAAATAAATTGAGAATTTACAGGAATACATTGTATTTATTTTTACTGTATTTTGGGTGTTTGCAGTACCTACAGTTTTGCAACTGATGGCTTCCATGCAGCTGCAAGTAGTGCAAACCTTTGTCTGCCAACAGGTGTAAGAGGAGGGGTTGACTGGATGAGGAAGCTGGCTTTCCGCTACAGAAGAGTAAAAGAGTTGTATAATACTTACAAGAACAACATAGGAGGTGAGTTTAATTGTCAAAACCAATTTAGAATGCTGATCAGGTTAAGCTGCAGGGTACCTGTTTTCACCAGAGGATGAAAGAAAACTCTAGCACTGCCATGCCACTAGCTCCTTTTATTGACTCTGTAGCTTACACAGTTAATTTTGTGAGCAAGAAATCTGAGTCTCATTTGGGCCAAGAGCTATGCTGTTACTCTTTTCATTCAGGGACTCACTCATGTCTGTGCCAGCAGGCTTGTAGGAAATCAAGCAGCAAAACTGAAAGAATCTGTTCTGGAGAGTCCTGTGTGACTCGCAGAGACAGCCAACCCTCTTCTGAGGAATGTGTCAGCTCACTCCCTCAAGAAGAGACGTGAGAGCAGGGCATACTTACAAGTCTTCAAGTATTTCTACAGCCATGGTTGAGGAGAAGATGAGGGCCCACCCAGCTGGGAAGGTGTCCAAGTAAACACTCTCTCATTCTATAGCATGGGCTTTTTCAATTCATCTGAAATTTATTTCAAAGGAACCTGACAATCAAAGTAAGGCTTACATTTAGCAAAACCAATTTAGTCTTCTTTTAGCACTTCCTGCAGTCTCTCAGAAACAGGGATCAGTGCAACTAATATGGGCAGTGAATTAATTGTTACTTTTTTAAAAATTTTCTAAACTATATAAATTTGGAATGTGTATTTTCTGTCATAGTAGTTCAGAGTCTTTACTTGCTACAGGAAGAAGCAGTAGAACCAAAGCATGATAGTAGATGGTTGGCTTTCACTTGCCCTGCCTTGCCCTGCATTGGTGCAATGAATTGATATTTTTTGTATTAATAATACTTGAAACAGTATTATGTAACATTTTATTGGGTTTTCTTATGTCTTATAATGCATCCAAACTTATAAAGCTGTTGCGTTTCATAGAAAATTTAACATTAGTAAGAACTTGAGTCCAAGAGCATAGCACAGGGAAACACAATAAGAGGAACAATCATTGCAAAGGTAGAGTTCAGATATGTGTTGCATTATATCAAGATTTTTATTCTCTCCCACAAATTCTGCTTCTGAAATATATTCCATCCTTAGGCAGATGGAATTTCCTTCTTTCATCCTCTACTTTGTAGCTTATTTAATAATCTTTTTATCACATATGTGTCTATTTATTTCAAAATAGCTGCTAGAAGGCAACTGAAGGCTAGATCAAACTAGGTGTTTTTAGGTTGCTTCATTTCAGATTTTTGAAGACAGTCATCACCACTTCTTGGGAACATAGAGTGTGAAAGAGAAGAGGGTCATGTAGCCTGCTTCCCTGCTCTTCCAGGACCAAATCTAAATTTAAAACAGCTTGGTTCCAAAGAACTCAGCATTCAGTAGGCTCTGGGTATCTTTAAAAATCTGACCACTTTTACCCAAAAGGAGATTTTAAGATGCTTTTAAGGACTAACTGAGATATGGAAATCTAAGATGTACAGCTGTTTCAGAGCTGCAAATGCTATAAAATGAGCTATCATTATTAACTACAACAGGACATGAAGAGCAAGTCATCAACAAATGAATGTATTTCCATATGTGTAACCTGAGGCTCACCCATATGGAGTCATAAACAGTGCAGTTTTAAACATATGCAGATACTGCAAAGGCAAGTTTATTTTAAAGTGTCTTCTTTTGTGAGTGTCTGTGTATGATCCTGATGGCATGGATGTCCTGGTCACTGCCTCTGATAACTGGAGAGTTAAGATGTATGTGAGGAATTGGTTTAAAAAAAAAAAAAAAACCAAAAAAAAAAACCCCACCAGATTACTAATTATTGGTATCTGCAGTACTCACTGACATTGCTTGATATAGTGGGGTGCAAATAAAAAAAAAGCAATTTATTGAGCTTTGAAGACAACAGAGTTTCTCTTTGATGTTTTTTCAAGTTTTAGTGGAATTTCAAATGGAAGGAATAACCATAAAATATATACATCCCAGCTAATTACATAATTTAATTTGTTGGGTTTTTTTCCTTTTCTTGCTTTTTTACATAAAAGGACTCCTGGGTCCCGCTAAAAGAGATGCATGGTTGCAATTAAGAGCAGAGATTGAAGCTCTGACAGACTCCTGGTTAACAAATGCGCTTAAATCATTATCAATTATCAGCACAAGGTATGTATTTGAGTCTACTGTAAAAAGATTTCTAGTTTTGGACTTGTAATGGCTACTTTATGAATTTCAGTAAATTAGTACCTTTAAAGAACAGATCTAATACTGCTTTTGAATAAGACATAGGAATAAGTCCATGGAAAGTATTTTAATTTTCAGTGATTTCAGAATTTACTAAAGACATGTATGAAGAGTATGAAGTATCTTCTAAAATGTGATAAATGTCCCTGTGTACATTGAAAGGATATCATAAAATCTGGAGCCAGCCTTTATTACCTTCTGAACTCCACTTCTCTCTGTTCTGTCCTTGTGTGTTTATGCCTATTCACAGTGCTACCTAAATACTGTATAGATCCGGGAACAAAAAAATTTTTCCTCCTGTCCTTACAAATATATCAGTATGCTTAAGCATATAGCTAAGTTTTTAGAAGAGTAAAAATTTGTTTTAAATGAGTTAAAAGTCTGGGTTCCTAGTAAAAAGACAAAAACTCCATTGTTCCATTGAAATAATTAACTGTGAACACTGCTGCTGCTTAGTCAGCTATGTGATAAGTGTCTTAACAGAAATCCTCAAAAATCAGGTTTTAAATAATAAAAAAGAAAAATGTCAAGCCATCTTGTCTTCTAAACAAATCTGGGAAAAGACAGCATCAAGTGGAAAGATCAAACTTGGAAAGATGTGAAAAACTTACTTCGAACATAACAACCTTCGCAAGATATTTATCTCTTAATTGTTGGTTTTTTAAGTGTCATAAGCACTTTGAGAGGAAAAAAAAAAAGTGTAAGCCATTGTGTTTAGCTCTGCATTTCTTTCTGAGTTGCCAGTCTTCAAAAAGATATTTAGTAATGAAGGCCAGTTGAGCATTGGTGGATGAGTCTGGAAAAATGTTATCAGTTACTCAGGACCATTAAATAATAGTTTTTTGTTTCGTCTTCAAAGAACTGTTCAGCTATAAATCTTCAGAAGCTACCTGTGAGGCAGCTAAACATCATCTGTATGTTACTGACAGGAAATTAAGATATATTAAGGCAGAAATAGTAGCCTAAGGTCTTGTTTGGAGTTCATGGAAGAACCAGGAGGAAAAATTACGACTGTTTGCTCTCGGCTCCATGTCATGTTTATGTTCTAGCCTAAAGCAGCCTGGCTCTGAGCTTTCCATTGTGTAACTGCTATCACAATTCTCCATTCAAGTTTTCATCCTCACCATTCAATGCTACCTCATTAACACGATTTTTCTTATCTGTTCCTCTTCTCAGAAATATTCTTATTCTTGAAACATGAAAAAAAGTGATGTCACTGTACAGAAATGTGCATTGGCTGTTTATTTCTCCTCAAGACAGGTGTGACAAATGATGTTTTCACTTTCTCCTAATACTTTTATTTGGCTAGTAGCTACTGCCAAGTAATTGCCAGCATGAAAATGATGCTTTCAAAATATTAGAATGCCTGTCTTTGGAGGTAGTTGGTGATCCTGGAATGTCTGTATTTTGGTGAACCCATCTTCAAGGACCTGTTTTTTATAAACCAGTATGGAATACTTTCTACAAATCAGGCCTGCATATTTTTTAGATGATTTTGCAAAAAGTTTTATGTACATTATTCTGGAAGTGGTAGTGCTAGGCAGCACTGCTGTGTGAGTGAAAGTAAATGTTGAGGAATCCTGAGTATGCTCTCCACAGCTGGTTCACCTCATCGCATTCGGTTAATGGTTTTAAACTATTTAAACTTAAACTATTTCCCTCATTCTAGGAGTAACTGTGTAAACGTATTGGTAACAACAACCCAGCTTATCCCAGCACTTGCAAAAGTCCTGCTATACAGCTTAGGAGGAGCTTTTCCTATTGAAAATATTTACAGTGCAACCAAAATAGGTAAGAAAACTATTTCATCCATTCTGACTACACAGCATCACCAATATTTTTTTTTTTAGCCAGTAATTAATGGATTCCAAGCCATTTCCCTGACACTTACAGTGTGAGCTATAAAATTTAGGCAATGCATATGTTTAAATGTATTTATGCCAATAAATTCCCAATTCAGCTTAATTTCAATGATACCTGAAGGAATAAAGGTCCCCACGCTGATTAAAAGCATCGGAAACTCTTAAGTATGGTCCAGAAAACATAAAATGTGCAGAAAATAATAGAAAAAAAATGTTTTGTGAATTCAAATGTAAGCAGAACTTCTGTTAAAATAGTCTCTGCTCTGACCTTCAGCTCTGTGTAAACTAGGCCACTGCTTCACAAGCTTTTTCTGGAAGCATAGTACATTGGTGATGGTAATGACAACTGTTACCGACAGAAGCTGTGTTGATGGATGCCACAAGGGCACTTCTGTGTTCTGTTGATAACTGTGTATCTCTTGTGTATTACTGTTTGGAAATTCATGGGTTTTGGAAATTGCATCCAAATTTTCTTGTAAACCAACACAAGTTACCATTCCTGTGAAAAATGACACAGCCTACAATGACTGAAAATTTTGGCAAATTTCATGACTTAACAATGATTAATTCACAAACGCTTAATTTCTATATCTATAACACCTTATATAACATGGAGTGTGACTCTTCATTGCCAAATGCATTACGATATATTTCCTAAATTATTTTCATGAGTGAAAAAAAAATTCATATCCTAACAGTGTCAGGAAAAACTATTACTTCAGTCATCCTTTAATGAGCTGTTGCTGTCATCTAGACAGAAATGCTTCAAGTACTTTAAAAACTTAAGGCAAGGCACAAAGTATCCCAAATACGACATGGTACTGAGCAGCCTTTGGAATGAATGTCATCTGTCATACAGCCTGTACATGTTGGATTCAGTCACTGAGATTGCACTCGGACCAAAGGAAGGAGCATTAATAGTGCCGACAGCACAGAAGGGGGTGGTGAAGTGGAGCACAGTCTCTGGAGGCTCTGTCGAAGTAATTCTGCACCAGGAATTCCTTCTGGGAACAGTGTGGCCGCTGTTACAGCCCTGTCAGGAGCACAGCAAACTCTATTGGGTACAAGATCTCTCTCTACTTTTCATCTCAATGATCTCTGCACTGTGCTGAGCACAGGACTATAATTGCAGCTGTTGCTTGCACACACTGAAATCTGGTCCTCACTCAACAGTTAATCCACATGATGCTTTTCCTAATCATAAGCCCTTTTTGGTGCACCAGCAGCTGGAAAAAAAGCAAGAGGAGAGCAATAAGAATCAGACGGCTAGAAATCATGTGCTTGTGAGAAGGGATTAAAAGCCCAGGGTGGGGATAGACATAATGACAAACAGGGTAAAAAGCTGTTGCAGAGAGGAAGGAATCTTCCTCTGCATTGATGGTAATTATGACAATAGGTGATGATTTCTTTGCAACAGGGCGTGTGTAGGTTGCATGTCAGAGAAAAACTTCCTAATGGAAAGGGTTAATTAAATATGGAGACTGACTTTGGAAACAGTGAAATAATCATATTAGGATGGTTTTAGGATCAATAGCACAAGCATTTGTTGGTAAAAATGAACCCACAGTACAATGAGAAGATTGGTAGATTTTTTTGCTTGGTCCCTTTCAATCCCTTTTATTGTTCATACTGGCTTAGCTGCTTGCTTCTACATTTCTCCAGAAGAGCCAAATGCTTCATGGAAGTTCTCCCAGGAACCTGTTGTCTAATTTTATCCTGCTTGTCCATTGTTCTTTGAAGAGTTTTTCCATTGCCACATCATTCATTGTTGAAAATACATTAGAATTAAAATTTCTGTTTTCCTTGAAAAAAAATATTACTACAATAGCAGGGAAATACTTAAATTCAATTATTAATTCATTGATCTATTCATTTTAGCAGTACAGCTAATTCCTTTTTCTTAGTTGCTTTCCTGTAACTGGAACAGCTTAGTTTCACTAAGAGAATTAATTGCTTCTTACCAGTTTTGTCTCTAAATCCCAAGGCTGGGAACTTCTAAAAAGTAGTAGTAACAAATCTTAGCACTGCAGTAATCCTTTGTAGGGCTTCACCGTAACTCACTTGATAGCTTGAATAAGTAGTGCATTGTTTTTCAGGCAAAGAGAGCTGTTTTGAGCGTATAGTGTCCAGATTTGGCACTAACATAACTTATGTTGTGATTGGAGATGGCCGAGATGAGGAGCATGCAGCTAATCAGGTAACTTCATTCTGAACTCTTATCTCATTTATCTTCCAGGAAAAGAAAGTTGCTTTGAACGAATAATGCAAAGGTTTGGCAGAAAAGTAGTATATGTTGTAATTGGGGATGGTGTAGAAGAAGAACAGGCAGCAAAAAAGGTAACCTGTCTCCTGAAATATTGGTGTGATACATAGCTACTAATGCAAGCCTCTCTGTTTGCATTTCTGTCAGTGTTGCACAATGGCAGAATGACAAATCATTCCAGTCCACAGATGCAAGGCAACAAGAGCATGATGAGATCAAAACTTAGAGTAAAATGAACCATTTGGATTCTAGCATTTGCTTCGCTTCAATTTTGGAAAGAAATTTAAAAAATTGCAAAATTATTTTAAAAATAAAAGAAAAATGATTGCAGCAAAAATGTATGAGTAGCTTCAAGCAAATCGAAGATAAACAGAAGAAATAGAAAGGGCTATGACATGATGTTTAGGCAGTGGTTTTCTTTAAACGTTGAAATGAGGAAGGTTTCAAGAGAAGTGTTACAGAGAATGTGAAAAAGCATCTAAAAGACAGTGCAAATTTTTTGCTAACATAGATGAAGAGCTGTAGTTTACTGGACCAAATATAATGAACATATCATTTTCTTCAAGAAAGACGTATCTGCAAAAGGAAAAAGAACACAGCACAGAGATTGTGCACCAAATTTTGTTTCTGAAAAAAAAAAAAAGGCTGTTTCTTTAGAAATACTCAGTTTTCTCACAATAATAATTCGAGTCTAAATTTCACCAGATAAGTTTTCAGTGCTCCAGAACAGGAACCAGGTCGATTTGCACCATACTTCCCAGTATAACCTTGGAGGTGTGGAGAAACTGAAAATTCTTGCCTCATAATGTCTGCACAGGACAAGTGATAAATATCTTTGTACCAGGAATGGCAAAATAAAGTACCTTGTTAGTTTTGTAGATGGAAGAGAAACAAAATGAAAATAACAAAAATGCTCATTCCAAATGGTTCCTTAATATAGGTACAGTACTGGTGATGGGTCTTCTATAGTTTGTGCTAAACAAAGGTGGTTGGATTGCATACTTTCCAGTTTGGCATGCTTTTTTCTTAACATTGGCTATATTGCATGGGTAGATACAAAATTCAGGGAGAAAGATGAATTTAGCACTTTACAAATAGATCTGAACGCAACATGAACGTATTGGGGGGGGTGGTTTCTGTTCTGGTGAATTGCTGAAGAATAGTGCCTATATCAGCATCTCTCACAGGCATTGATGCTTTCTGCAACACAAATTGTCTTTTTTTTTTTAAACCAGAAATGTCTTCTTTTCTTACCCAAAGAGATTTCTTTTTCCCCTGTAGATGGAGAAAAATGTAATTCAGCTCTATTTCAAAGTGTTGTGTGTGAAGCCTCTTTTAATGAAAGTCTTTTGGTAGATCATTTGGTATTTTGAAAAGTCTAATAACTGGAGCAGAAAGATATTTTCTATTAATGCTCCTTTGTATGGGTTTGCATGCTAATGATAAGCAAATAGCCCTTACTAAATAACAAGCTTTTTCCAAAGAAACTGTTAAGAAAGACTATCTAATAATTTTAACTTCATTTGATCTATTAAGCTCAGATCTATTTTAGTCTGATTTTTGTCAGTACTTTACTAGCAAAAATCAATCCAGAAACAAAGTGGTGTAAAATACATGGTGTTGATCTGACTAGCCTTGTGTGTCATATACTGCCCTGTGTCACAGTGTTCTTCTCTCCTGACCTTTTCCCCCTCTAACAAACACAGCACAACATGCCTTTCTGGAGGATATCCAGTCATTCGGACCTCTTGGCTCTCCATCAAGCACTGGAACTAGAGTATTTGTAACTGTGTTCTAAAGTTGGCGATCCTTTTTTTTATATATATATATATATTTCAACTACACTGAATTTTTATGTGTGATTCAATGCCTTTGGCTTTACACATATGAATTGTCTTAAGAAGGGAAGAAATATTTGGAATTAAAAATTCCAAATTGAAGAATTCAGATTGCTGAATGGAGTTAAAATGTTAGTGCTACATAAGGAAGCTCTATGGTCTTATACATGCAACATTTTTAAATGAATTAAAACTGTGGAGGTTGCTGGTACACACCAAGTGAGCCCTGACAGGAGTGAACAAAGGACTTGAAACTGGCAAAGCACCAACACGCGTTTTCCAGCCAACAAGGTGGTGTTCAACAACATTCCTCAAAATGGGATATATTCTCAGCACTGAGGTTTGAATCAGACTTTAGCCTACCTAACCCAGAAAATCTGAATTGGAATGCACTCAGACTGTATAATGACAATCCTGTCTAGACCTGTAATTTGTGTAAATTATTGATGAAAATAATTTACTGTGACTTTATTAGCAGCTGATTTTGGAAGTGGATGCAATTTTTCTTTCTTTTTGGGGGGCAAGGGAGGGAAAGGGTTATATAATATTTTCTCTTTTATAAGTTTGGCAAACAGAATGTGCATAATGATGTGTTGTGCCTTAAAGAGAAGACTGTGTTTGTGTGTTATAATGTAATTTTGGTTAAAAACTATGTAGATAAACAAAAAAACCTTTGTTATAATTTTTGACATGACCAAATTTGAAATTCAAAGAAATCAACGAGCAGGACTGCACCAAAGCATTTAAGTATTTGTTGCAGTAAGAAAAAATAATAAAGGAAAGTTTCTGTTTTTATTTGGGTTCTGAATAATTCCACTGATTGTTTGAGGAAAGTTAAGAGTATGTTGGGAGGTTCATACTGGGGACCGCTACCTTGAAAGCTCAAAAAGTGTTTTAACACCTTCAGCATAATTTCTTGATTCCCTGACAAGAGAACTAACAGCCATATTCATGAATTACCTAGCCCACTGAAAGCCATACAGTGAGTGCATCTGCTGTGTATGAAAGAACAAATTTCCACCCAGCAGACAAATTGTGCAGGTGTCATTACTGGAAGGTGAAAATGTGGAGTTAAGCCCAGATGGGGAATAAAACACAAGGTTGTTAGGAATGAAAAATGACTAAAGAATCTCTCACCAGTCAGATGCACAAGAATAATGTTACATTTAACATATTCAGGATCAACACAAGCTGTTGAAATTGCTGGCATGATGACATTGGCCATTTCAGGATCACAATCCACTTTGGTAAATCTAATGGCATTTCGGTAGCATTTCCATTCTGTTCCACATCTATGTGGCTTCTGTTTGAGTCAACATGATTTTCCTCACCCATTTTTGGCTGCATAACAATATTACACAGGAACAAACCTAAACGTTTTTCAGCTAGAAATTCCAATAGCATGTCACACACCTGAGGATAGAATAGAGAGGGCATTTTTATGAAGAAATATTGAGAAATATATTACCTTAATTTTTATCACTTCTGCTAAAAAATTACAGTCCATACAGTGATAATTACCCTGCAAGTTTTGAACATGCTACCATTCAGCTTTTGAAAATGAGGAAGGTCCATACTGCACATGGAGTTCCTAGGGGTCCATGTGCAGCTTTAGCACCCTGAAAAAAACAGCAAATGGTTTGTCTCTCATGGCAGAAGATGGAAGCTGCTTTTTTAACACTGTATGTGGAGACACCTGAGGTTGCCTGTGCTCTGACTGTGTGAAGAGGTGTATGCAAGAGGAGATGTTAGATGTAAACTCCAGGATGCCTACAAAAGCACAGCAGTCAGCATTGAGGTGAAGATCTTCCCTGTCTGTGCTATGAAGCCACCATATGTCTAGTTACTAGGCAGTCACATTGTTGATTTAAACTTTCTAGGTTATATGAAGGTTAGTTGGTAGGTGAAAACCTAAAAGTTCAAGGCAAAACTCTTCTACAGATTTATAAAAATGGGATTTCTTTGCTGTGTTTGAACTGGACATACAAGTCACCACACAGCAAACTAACGATAATTTGTTATCACTGGGCAGTTTAAAGCCATCACATGAAACTTGCCACATATGAAATCATTATACACTAGTTAATGCATAATAAATGTGTTTCCAAAAAGAGATGCATACTGTCTTTATATTTACAGTACCTGCGTGGTACTGTAAATTGGTCTGGAAGTACATTTTTCATAAAAAGCTGTAGCACCAGCTTTTTGTAGTTTTCCAAGTGGGGAAAAAAAAAGTTTTTCTACTCGAATAGGAAAAAATTTCAAACAAAGCCCTTCTCAAGCTCCAGCATTGTAACATTGCATGAGCATCTCAATGTAAACGCCTTTATAAAACAAACAAAAAAATTGGTATGGTGATCTAGCTTCTTTTTCTTTTTCTTTTTTTTTTTTTGAACAGGTCATAGTGTTACTTAATGCATGAAGCAATATTTCTCAAGTTATTTGTTCAGCTTTTCGGTATTCTTTTCCTAACCAGATGTAAGAACAAACAATAGCCCAGCAACAATTGTCAGTTCTTATAAAAGGTTTGCAGTGCCCTTGCTGGAGTTGTGCTTAGCTCTCTGTTGCATGTAGGGTTCAATTGTTAATACTGAAGAGAGGAGATGGATGCAAAAGAAAGGAAATTTTACAAAGCATGACAAAGTTTGGATATTAATTTGAATTCTGTCTGCTACCATAGCGGAAGTTAACTATAAAAATAATCCACAAAAAATGTACATTCAAAGAAAAGTGAAGAATTAAGCTCAAAAGCCTCTGCAATACTAAAAATCTAAAACAAAATTTCAGAGTACAATTACTGTCTTACTAAGTAAAAAAATGTTATATATTTTCAAACAGAAGTGTGTAATAACACGACTGCCTTGTAAAGAGAAATTACTTTAGTACATTCTCCTCCATGAACAATATGGAGGAGAAAATAACCAAGGCAGAGACATAGTCACGCCAGACTGTTGCAGCTGGGCCCAAGCAGATTAAACTGAAGGATGATCCTTTTGACATGGAGTGCATTTTAATTCAACAGCATATTTATCAGAAACTGCCATCCCTTCAGCCTCTCCTCAACATTCAAGATTGAGCACAATGACATGTTTGCAAGTATTTGGGACAAATGAAGTATAGAATATAATGCCCTTTACTGATTTTTGCCCTTTACAGCAATTTTCAGTCAGTACAGAACTTGAACATTCATTAGCATTTGAATAGTTGGCTTGCAGAATACATAGTGTGATTGCTGCCACAAGGTAGTATTTTACCTACATGTAACTCCATGCAGTTCAGTGTATCAGTAAAAGAGGATAAGTAAACTAAAAAAAAAAAATTAAAAAAAAAAGCAGCTTCTTTTTAGATACCTATGGAGATTGTGCACCAACCTATAGGTGGCAGCCAGCTCCCAGATCTAATTTCATTTGAATCCAGTGTGAGCAGCAGTGTTTGCATCTAAAGCAGATGTGGAGTATGTTCCAGTGTAAGCACTGACAAGGGAGATGAGTCTAAATCAAAATCCTGTATACAAGCTCACTTCATCTCAGGGCTGTGAGGTTGCATCCAGATCCAGGGTTTTGTTCAAAAGTCATCTCTGCTTTACAGGATTGACACCAGGGATACGCTCTGTATGAATATGGTATTTAGAATCTCTGAAGAGCAGCTGAAGTGACATGAGCCAAAATCCCAGCAATAGCAGCATTTTGGAGATACAATTGAAGCCAAGGATCTCTGTCATGTATTAGCAGATTATAGTTTATTAGGGCCTACATAATTTAAGAAACTGTAAATTAAAATTAAAAGCCTGTAAAATTATGTACATCTTTACTATTTCTCAATAAATACACTTGGAAATGTCATTTTCTGCACTATAATATGTTGTAAGATGCCTGGTTTGTGTTTGAAACGCTCTGTACACAATGTCTTTTACAGGCACCGAGTGTGACCTTGGACTCTTTTTAAGTATGCCCACACTGCCTTTGTGGTTCATGCCTGGAGCAGCCCTGGGCCCATGTTTTCTGGTAGACCCTGGCTCACCTGCATACTGCTTGAAGGGTGCAGCCTCTAGACGGAACCTCCCTCTGCTCTGCACCGAGGTTTTCTCACCAAGAACAATAGGTGCCTAGCTCCAGATGCAGCCTGAGCTACGACGAATACCTTTGTTGCAGTGTCCTTGCAGCAAAATACCTATCAAACCAATCTGATGGCCTACACACATAGTATACTCCTTTAAATTCCCTTGCCAATATGCTAATGTCCTTAGGGGTGTGGGTTGTTTCGCAGACAAACTGGCCTACTGGAGGGAAGTAGCCATTCCAGGCAAAGCTGAGCCCGATGAAACTTTGTAAATCCCCTTGAGAGCAGTTCTTAATGTCTTAGTGAGTTGCTAACCTTGGTTTGAAGGCTTTAAGGCAAAGATGAGACCACAGGACTATCAGCACACTTAGACATGACATTACGATTTTGGGAGCACCATAGCAAGTGACAGAGCACTTGCCACAGTGCATCAGCCACAAAAGATAGCTTGTAAATAGTGGATTTCTTTTTCCAAGAAGCTAGATTAAAGCATGTCTGCTACAAATATAACTGCTGTGTATGTACATCTGCCTTCTACTCCAACTATAGGAACAAACACAAAGATATATCAAAAATGATGTTGACAAAATATAAAGAAGGTCCATCTAATGAGCAGACTGACCTTTAGTATTTTTAACATTGTCTCTCAGATGGATTTGCCTGTGAATCTGCAAAAGCAGAACGATTCAGTATCATGTCAGAAGACTAAGATAAAAGGTAGTCAGAAAATAGTTTTTCTACATATTAAAACTTGGGAGATTTCAGAACTTTTCCCTTTTCACATCAGGATAAAACTAAGATATCAGGAGCTTTTATGTAAAAGTTTTTATCTGCATTACAGCACAGCATTAGCTTCATTTCTTATTGCTGAGAAACTCAGTGCTCTAAAT